TCGCCCGGCTAAGTTTTTGTATTTTTTAGTAGAGACGGGGTTTCACCGTGTCAGCCAGGATGGTCTCGATCTCCTGACCTCGTGATCCGCCCATCTCGGCCTCCCAAAGTGCTGGGATTACAGGCTTGAGCCACCGCGCCCGGCCTTAGAATTTTTATTTTGATACAGCCTTGTGTGATTCTCTAGTCCATTTCAAACCAATATCTGTTAGTTGCCTTCTAAAATACACAGCATTACAGAGACAAAGAACACAGCTCCTATATTCAAGTTGCTTATCTAAGCGAGCTAACATACAGATCTAGTTAAATGACAATATCAGATAAACTGCAGATTAAGGTGTACCTCCAATTGGCACAAGCGGCCCAGGCCTTATGCCACTGAGTTTCCCAGATTTCTGGTGACTGATGACCAGAAGTTGGGGCTATACCTAGATGATCTTCACCCATTCTGAGATCAATAGAGGGATTTCCGGAAGAGATACAAATCACACTGGCTGCCCACCTCACAATTAGGCCCCCATTCATCATGTCTGTGCTATATCACCTTTTCAGGTGATAGTCTCCGTCTCTTGTAATTCAGAATGGTTGAATTTGGGGCAGCAAGACAAGTCTGGGATTGGGTAATATCTTCCTAATGCTGGTTGGCATTATAGCTGAAAAGTCAAGAAACATATATCTTTTAAGTTTTTGAGACTTGAGAGAATAAAACACCCCTGTAATTTAAATCCTCTACTGAGACACTGCCCTGTTGTCTTTTAAAGGAGAAACATGAGGACTTTTCTAGTTATAAAAACCCTCTTATAGTATATACATGTCACTCTGTATATTCAGAATGGCAATTCCCAAACATGTGTGTGCTAAGGACTTGAAATAGCTCATGTGGATGATTACTTATACTGGTAATCCTTGAACAACTCAGGTTTGAACTGCAAGGGCCCACTTAGGGGTGGATTTTTAAAAATAAATATGTTAGAAAATATCGCGGAGATTTGGACAATTTGAAAAAACTCACAGATGAACCATGTAGCCTAGAAATATCAAAAAAAGGTGTGTCATGATTGCATAAAATATAGGTAGATGCTAGTTTATCATTTACTACCATAAAATATACACAAACCTTTTCTAAAAAGTTAAAATTTACCAAAACTTACACACACAGACTGTACATAGCACCATTCAAAGTTGAGAGAAGTGTAAACAAACATAAAGATGCAACATTAAATCATAACTGCATAAAATGAGCAATAGCACATACCGTACTACTGTAATAATTTCATAGTCCCTTCTGTTGCTATTGCAGTGAGCTCAT